TCTGTGTGACAGAGCATGTTGTAAATTGATAATTAACAAAAAAAAAATAAAAAGTAAAAGGAACATGACAGCGACTAAAGAATATAATTGCACAGTAAAATTTCATGGTTTTGGAGCCTACATAAAAACTCTAGACCTTGTGATAAAAATGCATGCATCCATAACCATAAAGCACCAAGTCAAAACTTATCTGTATCTCTCCAAATACCTAGAGAACTTTGAGAATCAGATCATACCAAAAATCATTGTCAACACCATCATCATAAATCGTTTAATACAGGCCAATATAACTCCTTTTCTATGACTCATCAGACATTTTGTGTTGTGTCTATTTGCCAGCTCAAAACCGACCCATAGCTGGTCCCTCAGAAGATTATAAGAGGCTGTAAAAAGCTCAGGAGAAGATTGCCCATATTTCTTCCTCTGAGCTGCTACTAGATTTGAATTGTCAGAAATGCATGGCCTTTAGATTAACAGTGGAACTCCCTATGGACTGTCACCAGAGTAATAACTGTGTTGCATACAGGTAGCATTAAAAATAGCAATATAAAAATCACTACATTAAAAACAAATTATAACAGTTTTGTACAAATTTCATATTTTATAGAATACATAGAGCATTTATCTTTCAGATTTTTTTCCAGATAGTTCTTCATTAAAAAGGTTAAAATAAGTAGAAATTATAATTAATGAATTAGTCATAGACTCTAAAATTGTTTATGTGTTCTGTTACAGATGGAAGACGTTATTATATCTTCTGAGGTAACATATTCATATTCAGAGAAAGTTTTCCAAGTATAAAACATTAACATAATGTGGTAATCTATGAGAAAGTTCATATTTTTTTTTCCTTTATAGACTGTTGAAAGCAGCGAGGTAAGACAATTTTATTCAAAGCAGTATTACAAAATTTAATGCTAAAATACTGTTTATTTTTTATTTTCACATTGGTAGTTAAGCTACTTTAGTTATGCTCTGATTTATAAATTAAAATTCAAGTTTTTAACATAGTTAAGCAGGTTAAGTGAGAATTAAGAATTCTAGCATATTTTTAAAACTAACTTGCTGCTTAAATTTGTCACTTTATTTACTTTTTGTCAAGGATACAATTCTATTTCTGTCTTAATTTTGAATTAAGCACTCTTTACTCTGACTTTAATAATTATTTTGCTGGTTATTTGTTGCATTTCCTCTTGAATCAGTTATTGTTTGGGATCAGATGATTCAAACGGAAAAGAAAAGAGGTCAATTTTAATAGGAAAAATATTGTAAGTTAGTAAGTAGACAGAAATGAAAATGGACTTTTTTGTAATTACAATAATCACTTTAAAAAATAAATAACGATGAGACACAGAGCATAATATAGTAATAAATCTTAAGTCAAGTGGATCACAATTTTCTGTCTCTTTGCTTTTGATTAAATAATACCTCTTACATGTTTTAACTCTTCAAAGAGGTTGTAAAATCCCTGGGGAAATGTTTACTTTTTATAACTTATTGACTTTCATTTTTATATGAAATATAAATGGGCAGGGCTGGGCAGGGAGAAAAGTGCAACAATGAATGGAAATCCAAAATCTCTGTAAATGTCCATTAAAATTATTAAAATAACGTTAAAAAACCCTATTATGTGCTAATTGAACTTAAAATGTTAGAACTTACCAATAGATATAAGACTGTACTTTAAACAAGTATTAAGCTTTTAGTGGGATATGAATCAAAACTCTGCCTGATCCTATGGCATCCTTTACCATCTCTGCTTTTCTGAAACCTATTACTGCAGGCACTGTGCAAATCCAGCTTACTGAATTTGCACAGACTGCAACGATTAGCTGATTCTCAAATTTTTCAAGGAAGAATTTCTTTTTCTGGAGATTGCCATCATTTTCTTTTCTGACTTGATTATCTTTACCTGTATGCGTGCATGTACATAAGAAGAAATAGACAGATGATAGATGATAGATATACAGATAGATGATAGAGAGATAGATAGAAAGATGCATAGGTAGACTAGCATCAGACATGAATTACTCACATGACTAGAAGTAATAAAAACTAACCTCTATTTTATTTTCCAAAAGGAATCTATGAAACACATCAACAAGGTAAAATTTTCACATTTATTGCACATATTTTAAAATGGTCTCATTTTCTATAGATGTTAACAATTCTTTTATGATTTATTTTTCAGCAAAAAATTGACAAAATTAAACCTGAGGAACAACAAAGAAAGGTACTTTGCTTATGATGAGCATATTTCTAAAGTTTTATAATGCATAATTCCTGACAATATTTGTAGTCCATAAGAAAATATACAATGGCAAAAAATTAAATGTCATATCCCATTAGCTAGTGTAAGAAATAGGATATTAGCAACATCAATAAATTTTCTCTGAAATAAATTCAGTTTTCAAGCTCATGATAAATGTCCAACCTATAAGTTAAATTTAAACAACTGTATATTAGTAGGAACATATCCAGGTTGTAAATTATGTTTTCCCTATTCTCAAATCAGATATAGTATTGATTAAGGAATAGAGAAGTGTTATGGTATGAAATCCAATTGCATGGAAATATATTTACATGTCATTAGTGTAACTTCTAATCTTTTGTACCTTACTTTCATTGTTTAAACTGAGACTGTTCATAAGAATGCCTATCCTATAAAGCTGGTAAATTAGTAGTACATTATGAAAGATGAAATAATTTTGTATTGTTGTTGTTATGTGCCATCCAGTCACTTGCCACTCATAGCGACTCTGTGTACAACAGCCCTAAACTCTGCTCTGTCCTGTGCCAATCGCACTGCCTCCAACACACCCATTCCAATTACCCCAGTGACGGAATCTATCCACCTCATTAAAGGGTCTTCCCCTCCTGCGATATCCCTTCACCCTACCAAGCATGATGTCCCTCTCAAAGGACTGGTCCCTCCTTACAGCTTGTCCAAAGTATGACAGATGAAGCCCCAGAATCCTTGCCTCCAAGGAGCAGCCTGGTTTAACCCTCTCTAGGGTGAATCTGTTTTCTTAGCAGTCCATGGTACATTCAATACTCTTCTCCAGCACCACAGCTCAAAGGCATCAATTCTCCTTCTATCCTCCCTAGTC